GCGGGTTCAACTCCAGTTGCTCTTGCCCGGTGGACGGAGCCAACCTGGCCGTCGACGGCGACATCCCCGATTCGGCGCTGCCAGGAAGGGGGGCGCTAGGTCAATGGAGCTGCAACGTCGTCCGGGGGGGCGTTGCTCTCGAGAGTTGGAGTTGCGCGGTGCACGGCGCCAATGCATGTCTGGGCGATGTAGAGGCCTCGGGTCCCCCCTGCTTGCCCCGCCCAGACCCGCCTCGCCATTGGCGCGCGCGCGCGAGTGTTGATGGCCGCCGCCAGCTGCGAAAACTGGCGACCATGGCAACTGGGCGGGCCGCTGCCGTCTGGCGCAGACTCCGTTGTCATTGCGGGACTTGTTCCCGTTCGCCTCGAGTCGCCCGTGAACGCGGCTGGACTTGCAGCGCAACGGGCGCCGTTGTTCTCGCGCCGTTCCCGCCGACTCAGTCGGGGCGGGGAATGCGCGCAGCTAGCGGGAAGCAGTCTCGGGGAATATACCCCGCGAAGTTCATGGTTGGCGTTTTGATTCCGCCCTTGCCCCCGACGCCCCGGGCGCGGTCGAAAATGCAGGCCCGGGCGGCCGCGCAGTCGACGTCGCCGAACCGCCGGCCGAACCTGAGAGCGCAGGCGGGAAGATGACACATGTCATCTTCCCGCTCTGTCGGGCGCAGGACCCCCCCCACCCTGTCAGATGATGCTTTGCGGAGGAGTATAGTATTTAAAATTTGTCGATTCCTGGTTTGATCCGGGCATTCCTGGTTTGATCCAGGCTACCCAGGGCCATTCAATTCGCGTCGCTGTCATGGTCCCCATGTTCACGCCGTACAGATACATTTGTACGTCATCGCAACACGGCGCACCCATTCATGTCACGTCCAAAGGTGCTGCTATCAGGTCGCAGTCGGGAGACATGCACTGCCCTGAGCAGAAAGCAGGGCTGTTCGAGTGCCCTTGCAGGGCAACTCGACCCCGCGATCGTTGGCGAACTGTGGGTCGCACACGCGGATCACACAATCCAGTCGGGGAACACTATGGTTTCCCACGATCAGGTGGTTCTGAACAATATGTTCCGGGTGACCCCTGACGGAACTTTGGTTTCCGGGCGTGAGCCCAAGTGGGTTGTCATTGTCAATGTCATTGTTTTCGGGCACGCCGCACACGTGCCAGGAACATAGCAAACCAGTTGGTTCGATCATCGTTGGGTTAACCAAGAAGTAGTTGTTGATCCGGGGACCATTGTCGCCTGCCCCCATTCAGATGAATGTGTTTGCCCGCCTGAGGGTGACGACGCATTCTCGGAGGCAGACCCTGGAATGCGCCAGCGCCCATGGGCGGATGATGGGCGAGATGTTTGCACGAACTTGCACAGTTTTCGTTGGGGTTTGCGCTTCAGCCCCCCAGTGCGCCACAAAAGTCTCGAGGATTCAGGGCTCGCGCGCATGCAATGATACGCGTCTGGATGCCAGGATCAATCTCTGCCTTAGCAGGCGGGGTCACATCGGGCAAACACAGCCAAGAAATGATGGTCTTTCTGTTGCGGGTAGGCGCAAACTGCAGGATGTGTCTTTAGGGAATGCGGATCTCAACTTGAACAGTACAATCAACGCAAGAGGCAATGGAGTGAACAGAAGGACGCTCGGCTCGCAAAATCTAGGGTGGGCATTACCGACTTCGCAAAAGAGCCATGGTCTGCTCCATCCTGGAAGACTGAGAACGCAAACGACAAGCCGCCCATTCGCCGTGAAACATACTTTCGATACCTTGAACCCCTTTTTACAACATATGCTCATATCGCACAACAAACGGAAGACCGACGGTGCGAAGGTTGCTGCTTGGTGGGCCGGCTCCCTGGCAGCACAGTGAATGGGCCGCCGCGCCAATGTCGCGCCCGCCATTGACCGCTCCTGTTTGGCCAGAAGTTGACGGTGATCAGTCCACCCCCAGCGGAAGATGGGGTGCTCCGAAGGAAAAGTCGACAGCCGGTGGAACTGTTCCTACCGCTGCTGCTTGGCTAGAAACCAAGCGCTGATCGGCGGAACCAACGCAGGGCGCGGACGAGACTCAGCCTTCGCCCGCGGAGAATCAGCCATATTGGTGTAATCTTCCAGGCACGAGGTCAATTGCGAGGATGTAATACAGTTGCAGCGAACCTCGACCCTGACCGCACAGCTTTCTAATATAAAGATACATCTCCGACGATTCCGGATCTGCAGGATGTGCAACATTCTGTGGCTGCTATACCCATCAAAACATAAAGCAACGGAGATGACGGACATGTCAAATTTCCATGCAATATTTTGCCCGCGGTGGCTTAATTCGCCGGAGATAAAGCCATTCGGGGAAAACCTCTCAGGGAACGTATGTGGTGAGACCCGGACTCAAGAGCTTGTGGACTTGTCCAGTGATCTCACCGCGGCGATTGCCGCTGGATCCTCTGCGTACGACGCCGAGGAGGTCGAACGCCAATGCGCGGTGGAATGTCTGAAAGAAGGGGAGAACACTGAACGAAGACGATTTCGTAAGACACATTGGAAAGGCCATTGAACATGTTGTGAGATAAGAATACCGCCAGTTGTTTGATAGTCGGTCATCCAGAATATTGAACTTCCTTCGGGGATGCATTGCAGGCGCAGGGCAACGATGCGTGGCTTTTCTGGGTGAGTCTGTTGACTCGGAGGAGGCGCCGCTGGGGCCGGGCCATCTGACGGTGGCCCCCTGCGCCAAGCAGATTAAGAGAGACCCTTGCGCGCAAAAAGGAGAGGCGGTCTGAGGCTCAGATTTGTTGGGGCAGTGCGTCGAGGATTTGGGGTTCAATCTTGCGCCCCAAGTACGAAAGGCGTCGCATTCGGTTCAGGCCTGCGTAACTTAGTTTGCGGGCCAGTTTGGACGAAACGAAAGACGCGCGGCGATCACGCCGAATTCTGGGACGAACTGATCGCCGAGCATGATCGCAGTGTTGCCGCGTCTGCCCTCGGCATCCTTCGAACGTTCAACCACCGTGGGAGGTCTGATAGCCGTCTGACCGGTGCCAGAGCTCAAACAGACGTTGACATGAACGTCGCGGCTGTCGCTGCTGAGGTCCAATCACAGATTGAACGTCAGGCTCAGCAGACGGCCGACGCTGCTATTGCAGAGCCGGCGGTGCTGATTGGCGGGGACCACGCGGACCTTTCTTATGGGGCTGCGAATGCGATGGAGGACGCAGTAGGCTCAGCCGGCAGCGTCGCACATGCCGGGCCGGGAGATGCAACGGGGGGCCACCGACGCATCCGGTGACCAATCGACTGCTCCCCCGACCTGTTGCGGTGCTGGTGCGTGCTGATGCAGTCGCGGCCAGCGATGGCTGGCGCCTCTGCGATTCGCCGCCCGGGCAGCCGCCGCGTCGCGCTGCGCTGCCCACGCCGCCGTTTGCGCCGATGCCAAGGAGCCAGTGCCGACAATCTAATGCGCCTGCGGGCGCGGTGCCGGGCAAGTTCTTCATCCGCTGATGGAGCCCCCGACTACTACCGCTAAACCGTTCTGGAAACTCGCCCGAATCGGGGCGCTTCCTCTGCTGGTGGTTGGGACATCAACGTGCGTTACCCCGCCAAGAATGGGGACCAGTGGGTCTGGAATGCTGCTGAGCAGAAGTGGCAGCACTGTTACGCGGACGAATCTACTGCGCACTTCGATCGCAGATAGAGGGAAAAATGATCGACTCGATACCAGCTCAGCCAGAATCGTACGACATGCTCAGAAAGATCTGGTTCCGGAACATGATCATTCACTTTTGTCGTCGTGGGTTGTTTTTTGTGGGATTCGTCGGTTTGCTTCGGCCCTCCTCAAAAGAGTTCTAGCGGTAGTATCGGCACCCCGCCCTCGGCACCTGAGAAGTCTTTGTGGGCTGGCGCCAGGGGGGCCAAGTGCATGGGGGTGCCGGGGATCCGTGGAGCTTCGGGGGGGACTGAAACTATGGGCCTACGCATTCCGCCGCGGAGGGAGTTGTTTACCATCTTCCTCCGCCGTTTCTGCGCCGCCGCCGCCTTTCGCTGCCGTGCGATATTGTACCGCAGTTGAATTTGGATGCGAGATATTTGGTCGGCGGGCCGACCTGGTGCCAGTGAGGAAGGGGGCGCTTTGTGTCGTCGCAGCGTCGTCGTCCTTCCTCCCGCCCACACACATCCCATAAACATCAGCTTACTGGATATTAAAGCAACTCGGTACGACATGTTCAGAGCAGCGACGATACCAACAAAGCAGCACCTCCACATCCCATATTTGCCCGGGATTTTGTTCCTCCGGCAAATAGTTCCATTAAAAGGGATCGTGGCTGCCCAGGCCAACGATGCAGCCGGCATTGTGGCGAGAGCGCGGCCATCTGCACCTCAGCGTATCTTGTTGAACGGGATCTTGGCCGTTCGTAATCAACGTGTAGCCGTCTGTGAGGCGAGAGCACGGCTCCGGAATAAGGTGCGAGGAAATCTCAGGCGAAACGGCTATTGTACCCGGCGGGCTAGGCCCCCCCCCTTTTGGGAACTCTCTTGTGGTTCCCAAGTTTCCACTCGCACCCCTTATGCAACCGTTATCATGGAACAAATGCAGGGACGCGTAAGGATGTGACCCTACATATCCACCGGCTTCAAGGCGTTGGGGCCCCAGACCTCTCGAGCGGTTCCACGAGGCAGGCGTTCCGTCCCGAGTCTTCCTTGGGCGGCCGCGGGGCCCGAACCCAGCCTCCAGATGGCTACATGTGCGCACGACGCACCGTCCTGAGTTGTCTTGGCCGCCCGATGTGCCGAGAAAACGGGAGCGACGACGACGTGACGACGACGACCTCCTCATTCAAAACCGACCCCCAGACCCGTCCTGGGGCGGATCCAGCCCTGGCCACCAGGAGATCCAGAGCAGGCCAACCATTCTCGAAGACCTCGAACCCCGCCCCTCGAACGCTCGAGCCCTCGGCCCTCGACGACGGCAGCGTTCCACGGCGGCTACGGTGGCGACGACGACGACGACCCCCACAGCAAGGTGGCCGTGC